TTCATGTAGATGGGAGAGAGGTTGGGCCCTTACCACCGAGGGAGCAAACAAATGCGTAACACGCGAGCGTCACAGGGTCATGAGAAAAGAACGGGGGAAAAATAAATATAAGACTTCAAGCTGTATTAAGCTGATGAATTGAAAAATTGAAAATACTTGAAACTTGAAAGGACGATTAGTTGAGCCGGGCCGGGCACCATACCCAGCCGGCGGGACCAAAGCTAGCCGCTACGGAAGAGCCAGCACAGGGGGTCCCGGGCTTCGACGGCACCCGGAGCTCAACTGCAAGAGTCCTCCTAGGAGTAGACCGAGGCAGACAGCAGGTTCATGAGCCAACCCCGCGCTTGGCCCCTGAGGGCCATGGGGAAGAAGCTCGCCATGACCTGGTCATCACCCCCGCCGCCTCTATGATCGTCGTGCAGATCTAGAAGGGCTCGGAGGGGTTGACGCCACCGTCATACTTCTCAGTGAGGCTGGGCCGGAACTTTGGGGGCCATCGGACATTCCGAAGACTCGCTTCAAAAGCCTAGCCGTTGGCCTTTTCCGATAAGGATGTGGGGGGCCTAGCCCCCTGCCTGGGGTGGCGCGACACTCCTGAGGAGGCTGCGCCTTCCCCCGCATTGGCGCCGCGACACTCATCATGCCGGCGCTCGAAACAACCTCAAAAATCACGAACGCGCCCCCTACCTGGCGCGCCAGATATCGGAGAATGAACTCCTCCACCAGGGAACCGTGAGGCCCCCCTTTGTGAGTTCGGCCGGGGGCAGTGGGTGAGATTCGAGGATTCGGTGAGCGAAGCTGTGTGATCTTGAGGGGGTTCAATCCCCCAAAGACGATGAGACAAAAGGGGTTTATATAGATTTGGGCCGCTAAGAAGCGTAATACCCTACTCCTGTGTTTGGGATCATGGTCGAGTGTAGAACACGAGTGCCTGGGGTTGCGAGACTCAAGCGCCAGTTCGCTCGGAAGTCCCCCCCCTCCACCACTAGGCCTGGACCTCCTTTTATACCTCAAGGGGTTACCACATGGGCCCAACAACCTAACCTAGCTCCGGTGGAGAAGTATTATAATCTTTGCATTAAATGCATGTCTTGTCTCTTGACTTGGGAAGCCAAGCGCACGTCGTCTTGATTATGGGGCCTGTCAAATCTTGCCGCCTGATATGGGGGGTGCCCCTGTCAGTCACCATTTAATGGGTGAAGACTTATGGGCTCCTATTACACCGGGAAACAGGAGCCTTGCTTTGACCAGAGCGGGAGGACCGACTCCGGCTGGGATAAGAGGATGAGAACCTCTCACCATCATTATTTGATGGGATATGTCGGGCTGCACGTCGCCTGACACTCGCGATGGTGCGCCTGACATCCTGGGTCCCATCGGTCATTCGACCGGTCACAGACCGGTTGAGTGCACTGCACACCGCATTAAATGCGACGTGGCGCGACCGCTCGGGTCGCCATTAATGCGGGTAGGTGGGCACCTGGAGGCGGACACCTAACCCATCGTACGTGGTGACCTAGAGAGGCGGTCGGGGGAGTTCGATCCCTAGTCACGGGAGGGGGCGGTCGCCGCCCGACCTCGGGCCCGATCCCCCCTCGGGGGAGGGCCACGTGGCGCCTGGGGCAGCCTTCTCCCTCTAGTCTCGGCCAGGGAGTGGCCACCGTACTACCTCGGGCCCGATCCCCCTCGAGGGAGGGCCACGTGGCATTGGGGGGCAGCCTCCTCCGTCCAATCTCTGGGAGGGAGTGGCCGCCACCCCACCTCGGGCCTAACTCCCCTCGGGGGAGGGCCGCGTGTCATTGGGGGGCAGCCTCCTCCGACTAGTCTATGTAGGAGTGGCTGCCACCCCACCTCGGGCCTGACTTCCCTCGGGGGAGGGCCACGTGGCATTGGGGGGCAGCCTCCTCCAACTAGTCTTTGGGAAGGAGTGGCCGCCACCCCATCTCGGGCCTCACTCCCCTCGGGGGAGGGCCACGTGGCCTTGGGGGGCAGCCTCCTCCCTCTAAACATGATATCCCCAGGCCCATATCACCGACAAGTATTTCTATACATCTAAAGTTTATACACCTAAAGTTTATAGACCCAAAGTTTATAGGTCAAAAGTTTACATACCTGTTTCAAATTTGAATTTGAATTCAAATATTAGTTTATAGACCCAAAGTTTATAAGTAAAAAGTTTACATACCTATTTTAAATTTAAATTTTAATTCAAATTTATATAGCGTAGTAGTAAGAGAAGAATGGGAGGTAAAGTAGTAAGGGGGAGGGGCGGGTGATCGCTTGGGAGGGGAGGAAGCGATCACCTGCCCATTAGGAGTACCGCTAATGGTGTATCAAATCTTATACTATTTTTTATTAGAATTATCTATTAATCTTTTCATAGTTTTAAAGCTTTACATCTTGCAAAGTTTTTAACTAATAGATACAACTCGTTTTTAAATCAACTAATAACAAAAATAAATATATCAAGAATCGTATTGTAGACAAAAACAATTGCTAAATGCATGTAGTTTTGTTCCATTGTATCTTAGTGTAAATGCACTAAATTAATTTTAAATGTTGTATAATCAAATATACACACTGTAATTGAGTGCAAGTAATAATATGTAAATAAATGTAAGTACTTTACGATTAAGTATAACTGTAATTTGGATCTAGAGAAACAAGATTCTGAAAATAATTAAAAGACAGGAGGTTAAAAATATGTTGTAAGTAAAATAGCAAAACCGTTATTTATTTCGGACCAGACTGAAAATGGTACTCCCTCCGTTCCACAATATAAGTCATTCTAGTATTTCTCACATTCGTATTAACGTTAATGAATATACGAATGTGTGAAATGATTGAACGATGAAACGGAGGAAATACTACACAGGCAGCGCCCCCCAATCATTTCGTGGCTACTAGCCTACCACCCGCTATGTGTGTGTCGTGTGCTAGCTAGATCGTTTCCACAACTCCACTCCACGTAGCTTTCGCCGTTCTGGGAGGCCGGCCGGGTCCACGAGCCTTGCAGAGTTGTGCTGATGCACGCGGACAAAAGATCGAGGGTCCTGCCACGTCTGCCTGACTGCCTCAAACAGTACACTTTTGTTGAATAAGAATTAAGAACGCATGTTGTGCGTGCCACCACTTTTGTACTGAACGATTGAACTGCTCTTTCGCACACGTACTGCATTGATATGTATGGTCGCCTTCCCTAGCTCGATCCCAAAATAAATTCGATGGTAACCGTTAACCGCCCCTCCAAAGCAAATATTGCTGCACGTCAGGAATTAATTAAGATGACGAGATGATTTCCCTTTCAGAAAAGATGACAAGACGATTATTTAAGCTAGATTGAGATATATAGTTTCAATTCAAATTTAGCAATTACCTACTCACCATCTTAAAAAATAAAAAGGAACTATTCACAAAGCTAGATATATAGTTGTGCTGATCGATGCACGGACGAAAGCTCGAGGGCCCTGCCACGTCTGGCTCAAACAGTACAGTTTGTTTGGAATGAGAACACATGTTGTGCGTGCCACTTTTATACTTAACTAACTGCTCTTTAGCACACGGCATACATGGTCGCCTTCCCTAGCTCGATCTTACTATAAATTCGACAGGAACCGTTAACCGCCCCGCCACTCCAAAGCAAACGAGCATTAACATTGTTACACGTCAGTAATTAATTAGGATGATGAGATGATTTGCCTTCAAGAAAAAAGATGACGAGACGGTTATTTAAGCTAGATTAGTGGATTAGTAGATTGAGATATATATAGTTTCAGTTCAAGCTTAGCAATTACCTATCCACGAAGCTAGTTATAGCTGTACATTGTAAATTTCCCCTTTTGAAACTTATCAAATTCATAGTCTCTCTTTTTTTTTATTGATAAAGGAGAGTTTTGTGAAAAAGAAAGAATTACATGGTGTTTAGGGTCCGATCCTGAAAACAAGCATGGGCTCCTCATCTCTCTGAATTGGAAGCTCCGCTAGGTTGGTGGCTCCCATCGTGGCGCCGTCCCCTTTATCTATAATAGGATCATTATCGGTGTGCTTGTCAATTGTTAGAAAATTCTTAAGTTGTGTTGGTTACACTCAAATGGTTTATTGCTTGACTTAATGCACATGTGGGTCCTGCACTCATATATCATTTTAAGAACAAGAAGATAAATAAAGGAAAACTACGATTTTTAACACGTCATGAACAAGTTCTATCTTTATTTTTAATAGGTGATGATATTGATTTTTTGACATATCGTTTAGTCATTTTCTTAATAAAAAGTTTAATGCAACTATAAAAAAATATAAATCATGTTTAGAGTCAAACATTATATCCAAAAATAAACTACATCATGCATTTAAAAGGTAGAGAATACTTGTATACATGGTTATTGGTCAATATAGAATTTAGCTAGTGAAATATGATTCGGTCGACCGTCCCAAAATTACTCTAGACGTGGTCTTGAAAACGAAAGGAACATTTGTACTGCGGCATTCCGTAGGGGATTTGGATCAGGAACTTAACCAGTAGCAATATGCATCATTGAACATAAGATGGACGGCCTAGATCGCGCACTGACTATTCATAGCACTGTAGCAATAAATACTGTAGCATGGAGTACTGTTTATGTGGTTACTGTAGCTTTGAATCTATCCCGTTAATCACACAAATGAACGGCCAAATTTGCGTGCAGTTGTTTGTCCATAGGACGGCCGAACTTGATCCAAATTCTCCGTAGGCCTTGCGTTTGTCGGTTTATCAACGTACGACAATTCATATGGTCAATAGCTTATCAATGACCGAACATAGAAATTTCAAAGAAATTTTTTAAAAAAACTCACAAGTGCGATTGAGGCCTGGTTTAGTTCTCAACTTTTTCTTTAAACTTTCAACTTTTCCATCACATCAAAACTTTTTTACACACATAAACTTTTAACTTTTTTTGTCACATTATTCCAATTTCAATCAAACTTCTAATTTTAGCGTGAACTAAACACACCCTGAGAAGTGAGATCGAACTCGATTTTCCAGTCCGCCTTTATATTATTATTGGTCTAGAAGCATGAGACGAGCAGTACTACACAGTACAGTGGCTTTTAGCCTTTTGCACAGTATAGGCAAAAGCAACCATGCAATGCAAGAAAAATACGCGCATTCGCGCGGCATTTCAGCTAGTAGTACCGCAGACTCAGAGGCCAGAGGTGCAGAGCAAATCGCTATAGACGATATTCGCACCAAATGGACGTACAATAGCACTGTTTAATCGTGATTGATTCCCCTCCCTCTTGTCCTTGTCCTAGAACCATGGAATCCGATATTTCTCTAGCAAACCGCAAGCCTTCGCTTAACCCTCACCATGAAGCCATTCTTCATGTGGAGTATGATGGAGAGCTTGGGCTCCACGACGTGGCCGGCAACGGCCTCGATCTCGAAGTTCTTCATTACCGCCGCCGCCGCGGTCTTGAGCTGCACGAACGCCATGTCCTTGCCGAGGCAGGTCCGGGGCCCCGAGTTGAAGGACATGAACTTGTACGATGGCACGTACCGCAGCTTGCCGTCGTCGGAGATCCACCGCTCCGGCCTGAACTCCATGCAGTCGCTGCCCCACACGGACTCCATCCTCCCCATCGCGTACAGCGACACCACGATCTTGTCCCCCGGGCGCACCTCGTGCCCGCTCGGCAGCACATCGGCGGCGGCCGGGCCCTTGTGCTCCATTGGCACGGGCGGGTACAGCCTGAGCGACTCGCACAGGGCGGCGTGCAGGTACACGAGCCGTCCGGTCTCGTCCGGGTCGAAGATCACCATGCCGTCCGCGGCGGTGGTGCTCTTGACGGAGTCGAGCTCTTGTAGGAGTTTGTGCAGCACACGCGGGTTCTTGGTGAGGAGGTAGAAGAACCAGGAGAGCGCAGAGCCCGTCGTGTCGCGGCCGGCGAGCATGAGGTTAATGGTCGTGTCGCGGAGGAAGGCGTCCACCGTGCCGGCGTCCTCTTCGTCGTCGTTGATGTAGGAGGAGAGCAGGTCCGCCGAGTCGTCGATCCCGGTTCTGGCCTTCTCCGCCCGCCGCTTGGCGATCGTGTCGGCGACGAACCGGTCCATGGTTCGCCACGCCACCGGCATCTTCCGCTCGTACCCGATCCCCAGCCTCCTCGCTAACCTCCACCACGACAGCGGGACGATGTGCCGGAGGAGAAGCATGGTCATGGCGTCGTCCATGGCGCGCGCGAAGGGCACCTCCGGCAAGTCGATCGCGACGGATCCGGGGTCGACGCCGAACACCAGCGTGGTCGTCGTGTCAAACGTCAGCCTCAGGAACACGTCCTGCAGGTTGCACGCGTCTCCTGTCCCGGCGACGTGGGCGAGCAGCGGGAGCAGCGCCTTCTCGACCTTGTCACGGCTGTACCGGGCCACGAACGCCCGGAAACGTGGGCTGGACATGAGCAGCTGGGCCTTGGTGCGCTGCCGGCGCCACGATTCGCCGTCGGCGCTGAAGATGCCGTCGCCGAGGATGTCGAAGATCTCCTGGAACTCACGCCCTTTCGGGTAGTTGGAGAAGTTGGTGTTGAAGACGTGGCGGATGTTGGCCGGATCGCTGGTGATAAAGAGCCGCATGTCTGAGCTCGGTGGTCCGATGAACCGGAAGTTCAACGGTGTGACTGTGAGGACGGAAGTGATCCACTCGTGGAGGTGGTTGCAGTTGGCGAGGAGCGCGGGCAGCATGCCCACCAATGGCCATTGCAGCGGGATGACGGGGTTCTTCTGCTTCGACTTGACGTGGTAGTAGTAGAAGAAACCGAAGCAGAGGAAGGAGAGCAAGAGCTCGAGGAACGAAAACGAAGACACGGCCATCGATCTGTACTAGCTAGTGGATGCAGTTCAACGAGTTGCTGATCAAAGATCAAATAATGGGGTGGACTTTGTAGTGTCATGGATGCATTAAATATACCCGAGACATCAAGTGGTTAGTAAGATGAGACATAACGACATGTATTGGTTTGCACGTGTTGACTATACTTTCACAAAGTTCTTCTGAAAAAAAAATTAGGATCAAGCATATTGATTAAGAGCAATATATTGGGAGAAATCATAAAATTATTGAGATCGGCTTGCTATCATCATAAGCAAAAGCTTCATGGTGTTGGGAACTTATGAACATGCATAATCCAAATTGAGTGAAAGTTACTACTCCTACTTACTACTACCATCCCGGCCAACAAAAATCTAGAATAGAAGATAACCTGGTAGATCAGATCTAGCTACTGACTACTGTCACAATCCTCTCCCACAAACAAAAGCGCTCACATCACCATCAGATACACGACTGCATTGATCTCCACTGATTCGTTTCTCCGGGAACCAGATCTCTTACACACAAGTAGTAGCATTCTCGATACACTAGGTAAAAGATTAATTGGAATCCGCTCAACGTCTCTTCCATTAAGAGATCGATGCAGACACAGCACACACTCGGCGCGGTCACTGCACATACGCATCCCCCGCATGTTATCACTTCTTCTGGGCGGTTGCGTGCGCTGTGCCGGCCGTGGCACAAGCAAAGCACAATCCCGCATAGGCGCGCGGCCGCATGCATGCATGCCGCTCACGGATCGCGCGGTTGGACGGATCGACGAGTCCGCGCACGCACGGAGCGTGGGCAGAATAGCCGGTGATCGCGCTCGCATAGGTGGAAGAAAGTGCGCAGGACTAGAAAATTTTGGACCACCGGTCGGTACACGCACTTTCTGTACAAGCGAGGCCACAAAACAAGTACGCCGATCGATCTGCAGGCGTTGTGTACATACATAGTTGTAGGTAGTTCAAGTACTACAAGGGAAGCATATGCATCATCATCATCCATATGGATCTGGAACTTATTAAAGTTATTGGGTCTATATGGCTACATGTGTTTGCTGGGTGCACATCCAGTGCTTGCTCTATCTTGGGTGCATCCGTGCATGGGCGATAGATTGCCCGTACAATTAATTATCCGGTCAATCGAACCCAACATCGTACGAGGCGTGGTTTGGATCGTACGTGGCGTGGTTTGGATCGATCGTTTGTGATACCAATGGCTCGTGGCAATGCACGATTATTAACGATTATGTATAGCTAGTGACTGTCGCAATCTCTAGCTTAATTAGTACTAGTTGCCAAGGTGTAGCACCACGCCTGATCCACATGCACGTTAGCTAGATAACCCCAAGCAGCCTCAATTATACTGATTGATGTTACTACTGTTGATGCGTGGTAGTACTACCGTGCACGCGACGACCGACCGACCTGCTTGATGTAAAGTTCAATTCATTGTAAGCAAAAAAAATCTCGTGCTCTGATCTGACATTTCCACCATGATAGATCGTTACCTAAACACAATGGTCGTGTTTAGTTGTAAATTTTTTCTTCAATCCTCCAACTTTTCCATCACATCAAAATTTTCCTACTCATATAAACTTCCTACTTTTCAGTCACATCGTTTCAATTTCAACTAAACTTTCAATTTTAGCGTGAACTAAACACACCCAATATTAATATCGATTAAGACGACCTTGCGCACGACGCGGTATACGGTTAGGTTGTGTTCTTCTTCTTCTTTCTCAACTCACATCCTTTGTTTTTTACGTGTACGCTTTTCAAACTTTTAAACGGTATATTTTTTTAAAAAAATTCTACAAGAAATTAAGTTGCTTTTAAGATCATATGAATTCATTTTTCATGTTTTTAGGTTAATACTTAATTAATTATGTGTTAATTGGTAATACCGTTTTCAGTACGGAAAGGTGGAGTTACCCAAACTCAGTCTTAATTAATTATCAATGGCATACTTCATTCATAAAAAAAACAATCTCGTACTAGAATACGATACATCCCAGTAAAATAAATCCGGATATAGATATACTCCCTCCGTACTCGTAAAGAAAATCGTTTAGGACAATGTTTAAATCAAACCTTGGGAATATAAATCATGAATAACTCTCAAGTTATTGAGTTTGAAAATATAAAAATTATATGAATAGATTTGTCTTAAAAAATACTTTAATAAAAGTATACATATATCACTTTTCAATAAATATTTTTATACAAACAATAAGTCAAGTTGTGTTTTGGAGACCGTGTCGCTGTTTTGGAAAAGAGAGAGTATATTTGTCTGCTATTCTGTTGATGACTTGAGCATTCTATGGCCTCATGTTATATAAGACGAAGGCAAGCTAAATTTAATTAGCTAGATGTAGGTATGTCGCCAACTACATAAGCAAGTCAACAAAGAGGTACAAACTTTCTTTGTCATGGGTCCTTAATTATGCCCAAAAGCATGGCAGAGGTCATTGACCATCACACTGTCACTGTGTAGATATCGCGATCTGATAAAGGTGTGTGACAATGTATATACTGTTTCTCTGAACCATCTGCAGGACATCCTTTGCAAGCTAGCACAGCAGTAGCAATAGAATATGCAGTCAGTATCCTGAATCAAATATGCTCTGTTATCTTCAACTGTTCACCCTAGAAGCTTCCCATACTGTTTTGTACCGTGCATTCCAGCCCACAAACATGCATCGATTGATCTCCTCTCCAATGGTGGTAGGGGCATGAACGCGAATGACATTGATCTAGATCTAGAGTATATATAAACTAGAAACGTGCCAAAAGGCGAATTATTTCCATACGTCGACGTGTTGCGTCTCATCTTGCAGGGGACCATTGTTGTAATGATTCAACTAATCAGTTTGTGAGTTACTCCTATATATATTCTACAATATGCAGTGGGGACTGAGAAGTACAAATAGATACTTCTTCCGTCCCATAATATAGCAATATAAAATCGGATGGGATATTTTGACACTCTCATGTTTCAATTCGTTGTACTATGAAATGTATCATCCGATATTATGGGACGGAGGGAGTAGAGACACTACTGGAGAAACCATCTTTACTAGGTTGACCAAAAATCACATTAGTTCTGGTTCAAATAGGAATCGGGACTAAAGAGATCTTTATATTTAGCCCCGGTTCAAAAGTAGCACGAAACTTTATTATCTTTAGTACCGGTTGGTAAGATCATTTTTAGTCCCGGTTCAAAACGTGGTCTGGCTGTGTCAGGCCCCTACTATCTTTAGTCCTGATCGGTAACACCAACTGGGACTAAAGATGGATATTTAGTCCCGGTTATTTTTTTTAGATAATGAAATATAATATCCCGGTTATTTATACCAACCGGGACCAAAATTGAAAAAAAAAAAAACTGCAGCCGCAACACACACGTCGCACACCTTCACCCTTATCTACTCGCGCCCCTCCTCCTCCACTTATCTACTCGGCCTCTCCTCCTCCACTACTCTTCCCCTCATTTCACAAATCCCCGATCTACTCCTCCTCCCCAGGCCCTCCCCTTCTCCTTCATCTCCTTCTCCCCTTCTCGGCCCTCTCTCTGGTGGGCGGCGCACGGCGGTAGGCGGAGGCGTGCGGTGGTGAACCATGAGCGCCGGGAGGGGAGGACGGCGGCGGGCAGAGGGGAGGACAGCAGCGGGTAGCACGGAAGGCGGCGGTGGGAGCCGGTGGCCAGTGGCGCACAGGCGGGAGGCAACAGCGGCAGCGCCGTATTTTTTTTTTTGGTTTTTTTTTTGAGAATTTATGATTCATTGGATCCGAGATGTATAATCAGTGATGTATTTCTTTTAGAATTTGTGATGTACTTTTTTTTGGAGAATTTGTGACGTTATTTTGATTTGGGGATATATAGGGAGCAACTCGATTTGAAAAAAAAATCAAAATACAAGCAGCAAAGAAACAATGAAAAAAAAAAGGAAAAAATGGTGACCAACCGCCGCTACCATCTTTAGTCCCGGATTCGTAGTCTCGGTTTGCAACCCAAGATTAAGGGGGTTGCAAACCTGTAGCGCCCGTTCCGTCGTGGCGCCTAGCGGGAAAATTATCTCTTAAAAACCCCCCTATTTGCGAAATTTGTTTCTTGCTTGTTGCCTAGTGTCCGTGCCATCTCAAGATCTCAATCCCCGATCTATCGTCGAGTTCAATCCTGAATCCAAATCCCTCCAAATCAATCCCTCCACAAAAAGACTATTTTGCCTCCCCCGGGGTCGATGGGCCGATTTCCTCTCGGCCCATCTCCCCCTCCCCTCCCCCGGCGCGCTCTCCCTCCGCTCCGCCGCGCCCGCGCGCCGCGCGCGCTGCGTGCGCGAGCGCGCAAGCCGCGCCGAGCGCCTCCTTCCCCCTCCGCTCCGCCCGCGCGTCCCGTGCGCGAGCGCGAGAGCCGCCCGCGCCGAGCCGAGCCGAGCCCTCCTTTCCGCCCCTTCACTGCCGCTCCCCGCGCGTCGTTCGCACGCGCGCCCGCGTGGTCCTCGCCGCGTCGCGTCTGCGCCGCCCGCCCCCGCTGCCCTGCCGCGCCTGCAGCCGCTTGTTCCCGCAGCCAGCGCGCGTGCTCGAGCCGCGCCTCTCCATCCGCCGCGCCCTCCCGTTGCAAGCCGCGCGCGCGTGCCGAGTGGCCGACCGTCTGGTCGCCGCCGCCGTCACCCTCTGCTGCGCCAGCCCGCGCCTGTCGCCTGTGTCGTCGCGCCGCTCCAAACCGCCCCGCCGTCATCGCCGTCGTCATCGCCTCGCCCCGCCACTCCCGCGCTAGCCTCCAAGGGACGGAGGCAGAGCCTCCCTCCTCCCTCAGCCGCGCGCCCCCGCTCCCTGCTCCTTTTCCCAAAGAGGCAAGGGGACAAGCCCCCTTTCTCTCCCTCCTTTTCCCCTTTTCCTCCTCGCCGGCGTCATCCGCCTCTGTCGCCGTTTTGGCCGCAAGCACCGAGCGCCAGCTAGCGCCTTGACCGCCCGAAGTCGGTTTCCAAACCGACGTTGCCGCCCTTAAAGCCCCGGGCGCCCTCCCTCTCTTCTCCTCTCGTTGCCCCTCTCGCCGCCGCGCCATTGCCGTCGCTCCCGTGCTCTGTCTCGCCTCCGCCGTCCATCGCCGAGCACCAGGAGAGCCGATGCGTTCGTGGACGCGGAAGGGGACT